GCAGCAGCTTTTCCATATGAATGGCCTGTCCTGGCTCAGGCTTCAGACTTTGCTAAAATCTCTCAAACAAGAAGAAACTGGCCTTCATGCCTCTCAATAAGAGGTCCCAGGTCCGGCACCAGCAGCAGCCTGCCTTCACAGGTTGGCCTTCCTGGGAACTTCCAAGCCCAACACAAGTAGCAACCATCTGCAGATCTCTCTGTAACTCCTGACAGGTGACCCCAGGCAGGGCAGTGGCTGACTTTGCGCCTCCCAGGAGGCCCCAGAGTCAGTGCACCTGGAGGACAGTTTTAGCTCACTCCAGATTACAACCCTACCACATCCACCAGTGACACACTCAAGGGGCAGACTCGGAGCACCAAAGCCCCACTGAAGCAAGTCCCGCTCCATAGGGGTGTCTCCTGCTCTTTCACTGTAGTCACAGCTGGTCCTCACAGCCAATTGGCCTGGAAGTCAATTCCTCCCAGTGACACCAACAGCAATCAAGGCTCAACTACAACAACACTGTGCACACAGCCCACAAAGGGCCATACCTAGAGTGCCAGCTCAGGTGACTGGGGAGGCTGAGCCACTGGGCCCTACAGGACACCTACTACACAAGGCCACTCTACCAATTCTAGGAGACATACAACTCTACCTAATACACAGAAACACAGGGATGCAGGCAAATCGCAGAGACAAAGAAACATGTCACGGTGCCCGTGCAGCAGGGATGGCCCCCGTCATGGCCACAGTGCCTGAGTCTATTCTCAGCCAAGGGAGATTAGAATGGGACGCACAGGTCCGCTGAGACCCACGGGGCAGCCGTGGTGGGCTCCCGGGCCTGCCCTCGGCCTACATGGCCCTCAGAACCCGGCTCCAGCCTGAGGAGACTCCGGATGGATGACTTGGAAGGAGTGGCCGGGAAGCCTTTAAAAGCCTTGTGTTGACCCTGATGCGCATCTGCCCGTGGGATACACACACTCTTTACATTCTCTCCAGGTGGTAGTTTTATTCATACTTTTGTCAGATTTTGGAGATTCTCGGTGCCTTAAATCTCTACCTGGAAATCACAGCCTCAGAGGCAGGTGGTGGCGTCCTGGGACTTCACTCTGTGACTCGGGCGTCCACTGCAGCCGGTTCCCAGGATCATCCAGTCGTGAGGAGCTATCACCCGAGCCCCTGTTCGCACGGCCTTACTTCTTCATCACAGTCGTGACGTGAGGTGCCTACAGAGGCGCTGGGATCAGGTGAGCATTCTCTGTGCTGATTATAAAGTTCTCATGAGAACAACAGCAACTACATGGTCATCGACTCCTGACACCACGGTATGTTCTGGAAAACCCGGAATTTAGTCCTGCTGAGCGAGCTCTTCCTGAGAGAGTCAGACAGACAGAAACAGACAGATAGACGTTGATCCACGCACAGCTTGGAGACAGAGGTGCCCCGAGTCTGCTCAGTGGCTCCATGTGAATCTCACGGAAGGACAGCGTGGCGACTGGCATCGGAACATTTAATTTAATTTTCCATCTACCGCGCTATGGGAAGGCTATGTTCTCAAAGGGCCTTTCTCTGTTGACCTTTAGGATAAAAAGCTTTGCGTGCAGCCCCAGGGGACAGGGGGGCTGAAGGGGCGATGGCGTGAGTCTGCCTCCGAGATGCATTTGCAGTCTCTCCGCACTGTTCCTCCCAAACACTGGCTCATTGTCCCGGAAGCTCTCGCGTCAGACTCCGACAGTCACGTCTCCTCTGTCCTCCCAACTCAGGAGAAAAATGTGAAACCTCCTCTAGTCCCCGAGATGACCCTGACGGGGATTGTGCATTTTCTTCTGTAGACAGAGGTCTACAAATATGTTCATTATTATTTGATTTTTACTTTCAAAAAGGAGAAAGGAATACAATGCCGGCCGTAAACTCTCTGAGCTGGTTGGGGGGAGGTGTCAGGCGTGTCACGTGTCGGATTCGGGACTCCAGCTGCCCGGTTTTAAGTCCTGCCCTGTCGTGACCAGACCGGGGACTGGACAGGTCACCTAGCTGTGCCTCAGTTTCCCACCCGTGAGAGCGGCCGGGGACATAGCTACCTGTTGGATGCTGTGAGGGTTTCATCCTTTCACCCCTTAGATTCACGCCCCCACGTGCTCAGCGCAGTGTACCTTTTAGTTATTTTTCTAGTTATTGTTTTAAACCTCTGCTTCCTGCCTCCCGCCAGGAGGAGTATATGCAGTCATTTAACAGCCTCCCCCACCCCAAGGCCTTCATCATCCCGTGGAATGGGGGTGGGGGGTTTCCACAGTTAAAAGGGCATTCGGCCCTGATCGGTTTGGCTCGGTGGATAGAGCGTCAGCCTGTGGACTGAAAGGTCCCGGGTTCGATTCCGGTCAAGGGCATGTACCTTGGTTGCGGGCACATCCCCAGTAGGGGGCGTGCAGGAGGCAGCTGATCGATGTTTCTCTCCCATCGATGTTTCTAAAGCTCTATCCCTCTCCCTTCCTCTCTGTAAAAAAATCAATAAAATATATTTAATAAAATAAAATAAAATAAAAGTGCATTCGGGGACCCAATGCCTTTAACGTGTACCTTGCAGGACCCGCCAGGGCATGTGGGAGGAGCCAGTGCTTTATGTTTGTAAGGCAAAGGGAGTCCCCTTTGGGCATCGGCATTGCCCCATGGCATGCTGGGCCTGGGGACCATGCTCCCGCGTGCATGACCATGACTGACGGCTGGCGGTGCCTGCCTGGCCGCAAAGACAGCCCATCGAAGTGGTGACCAAAAATCCATGTGTATTTCCAAAAAGCCCACATCCATGGTGACCCACATGCGCACACCAAGAACACGGGCCCTTACCCGGAGGCAGGATGGGTCCCTGCGGAAACCGGCCCCCAACCCCGACCTCCACCTCCGCACTGGCCTGCGGTGCTATTTCCCGGTTAAAGTCACAGGTTATATTTGCTCTAAGGTTATTATTGGTGACATTATCTTACTTTTGCTTTTCTAATGAAGTTGATAAAGTACTTAGTTATAATGGGAGCTGCTCTGAAATACTTGTGGATCTAGATAATACGTAACAGATGAGTCTCCACAACACGCGGTAAAGGCAACTCGGGCTGAGGAGCGAGGGCCCACGTTGCTGACGGTAGAAGGGGAGCTGCAGTTTGTGAGTTGCCTCAGTTGCCTCGCCACGTAGGTCAGGACTGCGCCGTTCTCTGGATTCAGGTTCTGTGGGGTTTTATTTTGTTTTGTTTTTGTTGTTTTTTCTTTATTGTTTAGAGTATTACAGATGTCCCCTTCCTCCCATTGACCCCCTCCAGCCCACCCCCGCCTCCCCTCCCAGGCCTTCAACCACCCTATTGTCTGTGTCCATGGGCCTTGCATAGATGCACACAAGGTCCTTGGTTGACGACCTCCCACCCACCCTCCCCCGCCTTCCCTCCGAGATTCCGCACTCTGTTCCCTGCCTCCATGTCTCTGGATCCACTCCATTCGTCAGTTTATTTTGTTACTTAGATTCCACGTAGGAGTGAGATCCCGTCATACTTGTCTTTCTCTGACGGGCTTATGTCACTTAGCTCGATGCTCTCCAGGTCCCTCCGTGCTTGAGTCTTTGGTGTTTGTGTGGTTGTTGTTGTTTTCTTGGCCTCACAGAATCCGCCTTTGTTAGCGTCTGTGCCCCGGCGGGTTGTAGACTGAATTATGTCTGGGTCCACACCAGTGTCTGATGTCCTCTCGGCTGTACCGACCTAGACTCCATTCTGCCCTCGTCTCGGGCCCACAGAAGCCCAGGACCAAAGACGGTGCCTTTAGAGTTGGTGTGAGGTCGGACCCGTGGGAGAAGGTTAATGGGTGTGGAAGGGTTTGGGGCTAAATGCAGTCAGCTTTGCGCAAACACTCAGTTTCTTTATGGCGATAACAATCCCTCATTAGCCCAGAAGAAGCGATTTCCCTGGGCCTTGTGGTGCTTCCCGCAGGAGAGGGCTGGGCGAGCGTCCATCTCAGGGCCCAGGGCCTCTGCTTCCTGCTCGCTCGTCTGGAGGGTCTCAGACCCTTGGGTTTGGGCCCTGGTTCCACGACGGGGAACACTGATGTGGAAAGTGGTGCCACACATCCCGTGACTGGTGAGGGGTGCCGGCCCAACTTCAGTCTTCATTTTTTTAATACATTTTTATTGACTTCAGCGAGGAAGGGAGAGGGAGAGAGAAATAGAAACATCAATGATGAGAGAGAATCATGGATCGGCTGCCTCCTGCATGCCCCACACTGGGGATCGAGCCCACAACCCGGGCATGTGCCCTGCCGGGAATCAAACCATGACCTCCTGGTTCATAGGTCGGCGCTCACCCACTGAGCCACGCCGGCCGGGCCCATCCTAGTTTTCAGAGTGACTGTGAGCATGATTTTGAAGTAGAAATCCCCCGTGTGGCTTTCCACCTGCATGTGTCTGCAGGAGCTGCCCCAACCAGGTACCACTGACTCTGTTGTCTCCCAGCCCCCGGCTCTGGAGGCTGGAGTCCCTGATGGAGGCCCCGCCCACCCAGTACACTTTCTCCTTCTCTCTCTCTTTTTTAAATAAATCTTTATTGTTGAAAGTATTACCTATGTCCCTTTTTTCCCCCATCTCCCTCTCCCCTCCTCCCACCCCATGAGGCCTCTCCTCCTGGCTGCAGACAGCTGACGTCCGGCTGTGTCCTCACTGGGCTCCTCCCTGTGCACTGATGGGGGTGAGAGAGATGGAGAGATAGAGAGCGAGCCCACCACACCTGTCAGTTAGGGCCCTGCCCTGATGACCTTCTTTAACCTTTGTTCCCTCCCTCACGGCCTTATCTCTCAATGCAGTCACATTGGGGTCACAGTTTAAACATACGAATTGGGGGAGGGGTGTGGAGGGAATAGGGCTCAGTCCATCACACCAGCTAAAATGATGGCTCTGTCTCAGGAAATCCCCGTGGGGGAGGCACTGCCTGGGGCTCCTCTGCCACTTGAGCTTTCGCACATGCTCTGTCTGCTCATTCTCGTTCCTCTTCCAGATCAGCATCTTCATGACCCACCTGTCCAACTATGGCAACGACCGCCTGGGGTCCTACACCTTCGTGAACCTGGCCAACTTCGTGCAGAGCTGGACCAACCTGCGCCTGCAGACGCTGCCGCCCCTGCAGCTGGCCCGCAAGTACTTCGAGCTCTTCCCGGAGCAGAGGGACCCGCTCTGGCAGGTAACATGGGTGTGGGGTGGGGGTGGGCATCTCGGAGGGCAGGCAGGGAGACTGCAAGTGCCAATCAGGGGTAGGAGCTCAGCTGCAGAGAGTACAGCTGGCGTTTGGCACACGCTTCTTTATCCAATGGTTTTCTCCTCTTCAGTGATGCGTTTTGTTTGTTTGATGGGCTAAGTGTTTGCGTGTTTCTGTTGTGTTGTTTTCCTGAGGTTTCGGTTGCTGGTCCGGTTGGTTGGGGACTTCTGCATCGAGGATGTGGTTTGATGGTTCATGTCTTTTCAGGGGGAGGGCGTCTCCCCCTGGGAATGGGAGGGAATAGACACCCAAGTGCCATCATCTAAGGCCCCGAGACTAGACTCTGACATGGGTGTGTACAACCCAGGGCAGGGACGGGGGTAAAAATAAAAAGCAAAGAGCCTTTCTTCACCTCGTGCTTAACACAGTCCGTCTTTAACACGTCGCTACGTTCCTTTAGATCTAACCAACACTTTGCTAGGATCCGATCTATTAATAAAAGAATCGCTGCCCGGCCAGCACGGCTCAGTTGTTAAGCATCAGCCTATGAACCAGGAGGTCACGGTTCAATTCCCAGTCAGGGCACGTGCCCAGGTTTCGGGCTCGATCCCCAGTGTGGGGCGTGAAGGAGGCAGCGGATCCATGATTCTCTCTCATCATTGATGTTTCTCTCTCTCCCTCTCCCTTCCTCTCTGAAATCCATAAAAATATATTTAAAAATAAAATATAATAATAATAAAGGAATCACCAGCATGAGGATTGCTTTTACAGACAGTGGGAGCCTCGTACCCTCAATCCTGGGACACAAACCCTCCGCTCTGCAGCCTCAGCTGGAAAAGTCACCTCCCCCCGGCTCTTCCCGATGCATCAACCACGGGGCCGGTGAGCCGGCAGCAGAGCAGGTGGGAGGGCCCACTGAGCAGGAGGCGGGAGCAGTGTTGCTCAGGAGAAATCCCTGTGGACAGACTCGGCGCCCTCTCCCCTCTCCTCCGGCCTGTGCTGTGCTCTCCTCCAGGATCCCTGCTGTGTGTTGAAGTCTGGGCGGCAGGATCCACCCAACACGTGTCCACTGAGCATCCCCAGGCATGAGGCTAGGCTGCTGCTCGAGAGAAAGCAGGGAGCAGAGGACAGGGTTTCCTCCTGGAGCCGTGGAGGGTCCCTGTGGGTCTGGCTCGCCGGGACATGTTTCACAGGCGCATGGAGATGACCGCAACCATGAGCCCAGCCCGTTCTGGAGCAGCTCTCAGCAGGTTAACAAGGTGGGAGTCTCACACTCCCAGTAAGCGGTTTGGCCACCCGTGTGAGGTGATAACCCGACAGGCCGATGAATAGGTACAGACATCTATATATATAAAAGCCTAATATGCAAATTGTCCCCTTGGAGTTCGACTGGAGACCGACCTGGAGTTCAATCGCTCACTATGATGTGCGCTGACCACCAGGGGGCAGCACAGAATGAAGGAAGGTCCTGGCCCCAGCCCAAAGGCCCCAATTAGCCCTGATCCCCGGCCAGGCCTAGGGACTCTACCCGTGCACGAATTTCATGCACCGGGCCTCTAGTCCTTAATAAGGTGCCTACAGTCACACCCCGTCCGTGCTGAACAAAGGCAAAGCAGCGTGTCCCACACGCCCGTGACGTTGATAAATCATCGGAGTAAACCGCTCCTGTTCTCACACACGTTTGCTTATGCGATATCTATAATTCATGGCACAATAACCAGAAAAAGCAGCTACGTAAAGAAGGGTGCTGGCAGCTGACATGAAAAACGAGGCAATGCTCCCACGCTCTACTCTTTCTTCTGCTTTAGACAAAGTGTTGTTTTCATGAAGAATGTGTATCGTTAACACTGGGAGGTTTTCTTTGGGCTAGCTAATTGTGTTTGGTTTTGTTTTCATATCAGGGGCACTATTTATTTACTGAGGAGTGAATGGCATATGATTGGGGCACCATGAGGATTCTAAATACTGAGTGTTTGTTCAGCGTGAAACACGGGGCGGGTTTGGGGGGATCGATGAACATTAGAAACGGGACATAGAACTGTGTTTCAGGGACCTCGTCGCTGTGGAGGAGGCAGAACATCTACAGACGCAGGAAGCGCTCTCAGGGCCTGACGGTTCTCGTTTGAAAAGCAGCACAGAGGTCCGTTTCTGGGACACTCTTACGAAATGACAGAATTCGCCAGAAAAGGCTAGAGAGTTCGCGCAGTTCTGTTACCGTTGCTGCCATTCATACACGTTTAGAAATCTTCAGAGGTGTCATCGAAACAGAGCTGCTGTAAGAGCATCTAAGTAAGAGACTCCCATTGCATTCTGGGAGGTGCATGGTTTATGTGGCTCCTTCAGATGGGAGGTGACGTTGCAAACATTTCACATGAACCAAAGCCACGCCTTCTCAGATGTTTTTCAGAAGCAGGCGAGGGATGGGAGCGGACGGCGGTTAGGGTCAGGGGATCACTTGGCCCCACGGCGATTGGCAGGAGCTGCCGAGTTAAAGAAAACCTGACAGACTCTGTGGACCACGAGCAGCGTCCGAGGCTGCGGGAGGCTCCGGAAAGATAAAGCACAAACGCTGCCCAGCTCCTTCCCGGCGCGTCTCTCCTCGCCTACTCGTAGTTACGGTAGCAACACGCCCAGCTGTGGGCATCAGCAGCCCGGCCTTTATACAGGGTTCCGTTTCGTCAAAAACATAAGCACAGCCCGGCTGGTGCGGCTCAGGGGTTAAGCATCGTCCCAGGGACCAAGAGGTTTGGGGGTTCAATTCCCGGTCAGGGCACGTGCCCGGGTTGCAGGCTCCATCCCCAGTTGGGGCCGTGCAGGAGGCAGCTGACAGATGTGTCTCTCTCATTGATGTTTCTATCTTTCTCTCCCTCTCCCTTCCTCTCTCTCTAAAGTCAATAAAAACACATTTTAAAAAACATAAACGCATAACTGGCACCAATGAAACATTTTATAGCCCATTCACCACAGCCCGACAGAGTCAGGTAGATCGGGCTACAGTGTCTGTCGCTGTGTACAGTCTCAGATTCCGTGTGTGGGGACGTGTTCGTATTGCTAAGCGTGCATTCCTACGTAGTATGGTTCACTCTTGAAAACTCAGTCAACGGTCATTTTCCATTAGATTTTTAATTCACACTTTTTCTATTACCACAAATAAAAAGAAAACGTTCACAGCGATAATCTTTGCATCTGTTTTTTTTTAACTTTATTTTTATCATTGACAGCCTTTGCATGTAGTTCATCTCCTCAGGTTCCTTATGTCCATTTCATTAGCACCCGGGCCTGTGGCCTGACTGCCGTGTATGTGAAACTGCGTGTCGCCTCATTAAAAAGTGCCACGTGAGTGTCCGCCCACGGACAGCGGCAGGGCCACCAACGTGCTGAGCTCCTTCGAGGGGGGCTGAGTCTCTCAGAGCTGTTGCGTGGAACGTGTGCCCATAGCAGGCGGAAATCTGCCCCCAAGCGTGCCCTCCTCACGTACCCCTGGGGTGGGGGGCCCTGAAAATTATGTTCACAGGTTTCTGGAAATTCATGTCCCTTTTGTTTTGATGGAATAATCCTGAGGAAGCATGAAGGAGGGTTCCTCTTTTTGTAAAATATATTTTTATTGATCTCAGAGAGGAAGGGAGTGAGAGAGAGAGAAACATCAATGACGAGAGAATCATTGACCGTCTGCCTCTTGCACACCTCCTACTGGGGATCGAGCCCACAACCTGGGCATGTGCCCTGACCGGAAATCAAACCTGGGACCCTTCAGTCTGCAGGCTGACGCTCTATCCACTGAGCCAACCAGCCGGGGCCAAAAGCACTTGTTTGAATGGCGAAGATGTGGGCAGTGGGAGAGGAGGGTGTGGCCTGCTGTGCATGTGCAGCCGAGAGCGAGCCCACAGAAGCCTGGCTTTCCCGGGTCCCGGCCCCCGCGCTTGCCCTCCTGCCTTGGGGAAGGGGAATGAAGCCACCTGAGCAAGCGCCTGGCACCACCACCACCGAGACACCGTCTTCGTCGCGTTCTCTGCGAAGAAACTCAGCAAGTGGAGGCCGTGGTAGCTACGTTTCTATTGCCTGACGTCAAAACACAGCGAGGAATCACATGTAGTGCTTTCAACAATACAGAATTATTGATGAAAAAATAGACCCAGAGCCACAAAATAATAACATCCACGGAGGAAGAAAGCTCTTCACAAAGGAGCAGTGTGAGCAGCAGTGTGAGGAGCAGGTGTGAGTCCGAAGTGTGGGGTGAGCCACGGGAGCCAGCGCTGGGGCCACCGGAGAGCCGCGCTGGAGCCGGTTTTCTGCAGGAGACACGGAGGGACAGGCCCACGCAGTCCCTGTGAGGTCAGCTTTGGAGCAGGTGGCAGTGCCCCCCGACCATCAGCGCTGCTCCTGCCCATGCTGGCAGCCACGCCCATTCACGCCCTCACTCTCAGGCCCTGTCCTGCGTTTCACCAATTTCATTGCAGCAATGAGGGTCTACTGGTCCGAGACCTCACTCCAGTGGACACAGAGTATTACCGACATCCCGGCACCATTATGTAAATCATGTAAAACACCACCAACCCGTCCTGAGTAAGATCATTCCAGTACAGAAATGCAGGGAGGAGGCTAGGGCAGGAAGTGCCATAGAGACAGGAGTGGACGGCCCTCACAGGGAACATTGGAGTTGACACCTGAGGATAAGTGCTACATCCGTTAGTGGGCGAGTGGCCGGAGCCAGACAGCAAATGCATCCATAAATGAATGGAACAGCAGGGTCCATATAGGGTCTTGGGTCAGCGTAGGGCCCTGGTTGGCAAACCGGCTCGCGAGCCACATGCGGCTCTTTGGCCCTTTGAGTGTGGCTCTTCCACAAAATACCACGTGCAGGTGCGCACGTACAGTGCGATTGAAACTTCATGGCCCATGCGCAGAAGTCGGTTTTCGGCCTGGGCGAGTCTATATTGAAGAAGTACTGTTGATATTTGGCTCTGTTGACTAATGAGTTTGCCGACCACTGGCCTAGGGCATCCTCTACCCTCGAGGCATCTGAAGAAGCCCCAGCTCTCTCCCTGTCCAGGAACCCAAACCCCAGCCGTCGAGTCCTCCAGGCACTCACATCCCACATGTCTAGTCATCAGATGGTGGCAGAAAATTCCTCGTGGTAGGGCAGCCACCCAAGGTGCATGCTTTCTGACAGGGGACCAGGACATCTGCCCTCGGGACAGACATTGGCCACAAACCCATCCTCAGCGAAGGTGAGGTCTCTGCTCCGCCAATGGCCTAGCTCACCTGGATAGAGAAGGGCTGGGCTTTGTGGGTCTCACAGTGAGCACTCGCTCTCCCAGAGCTCAATGTCCTCATTTTAAACAGAGACACATCGAATGCCCTCAACACCCACGCGAGGTAGATACACCAACCTTACTTTGTGAACAAGGAAACTGGATCCCAGAGAATTTAGGAAAATTGCTTAACACCCGGGCAGTCTCCCCCTGAGCTCGGACTCTTAACAACTGATTAAATAAGGCAGGTTTAGGGTAGTTATTAGCTTATGCTAAAAGAATTGGCAACATGTTGATCAAATTGGAAAAACATAGGGCATTGCCCAGAAAAATAGGTTATTTCCAGACTGTAGAGCAGGTTTGCGTGTGTCTGCAGCGGCGGGCACAGCGTGATGGTGGGCACAGCGTGATGGTGGCCACAGCCTGATGGTGGCCACAGTGTGACGGTGGGCACAGCGTGATGGTGGGCACAGCGTGATGGTGGCCACAGCCTGATGGTGGCCACAGCGTGATGGTGGCCACAGCGTGATGGTGGCCACAGCCTGATGGTGGCCACAGCGTGATGGTGGCCACAGTGTGATGGTGGCCATAGCCTGACGGTGGGCACAGCGTGACGGTGGCCACAGCCTGATGGTGGCCACAGCGTGATGGTGGCCACAGCGTGATGGTGGCCATAGCCTGATGGTGGCCACAGCGTGATGGTGGCCACAGCGTGATGGTGGCCACAGCGTGATGGTGGCCACAGCGTGATGGTGGCCACAGTGTGACCTCAGGCACAGCTAACGGGGGAGAACGGGCTCCTCGCTGACCAGCCGTGACCTTGAGCTGCCTGGACGCGCCCAGCAGCCACGCCCTGCGTGGGCCACCTGCTCCGGCTGGAGTTCTGTTTCCCTCGTGGCAGGATGTCCCGGCGAGCAGTGTGGTGATTCTCAGCCTGACCCCAGCCCTCACCTTCTGCAGAGAAGCGCCATGAAGCGCAGTGAGTCAGAGCACAGGCCAGGTCGCCATGACGAGGACGCTCTGCAAATACAGAGGCGAGTAAACAATGTCTGCCTCCTCACAACTGTGTACAGATGGACAGGAGGTCGGCTCCGCTCCACGTGGTCACCCAGGGCCACAGGTGGCCAGTGCTCAGCGCACAGGCGACCTCTCTTCCAGGGCCAGGAGCGTGCCAGGTGGCCTGAGGGCACCCAGCTCAGCACCCCGGGGCGCCTGCTGTGTCTGCCCTGGGGATTGACCGGAACTCTGCTGGACACCCTCTTGCACCAGAGGCCAGAGTCCATGGTCTGCTTGGCCCTTCTGCCTGCCTCCTGTGGGCAGGTCCTTGTTCTGAGGCCACTCAGAACCAGCGGCCCTCTGCACGCCCGGCCAGTGATACTGCAGCGTCCCCTGGAGCAAGGAGATGCCGCTCCAAACCCAGAGGCCGTGCAGCCCAATGCACTTTCTCAGCTGCAAAGCAAATGCTCCCCTCACTGTGAAAGGGTGTCCTGGCCTTGCCTGACACTGGACCTCAGAGACCCTGACCTCCAGGCCCTGGAACCTGCCAGAGAGCCTCCCCTCTGAGCTCGCGTCCACCATGGCAGGTAGAGTGACCACCTGGACCTGCCGGGTCCGACTAGCATCGGCCACCAGCTCAGCAGGCTGGCAAGACCCCAGGGATGTAACGGTGATCCGGGGTCTCCGGGCTCTGTAATGACACCGACAAGAATGAGCTTTGAAACTTATTTCTGAGAAAACTATTGTTTTGAAGAAAAGATATATTGAACGTTTTTGCCTTCAGTGCTATTCACCTTCTTTAAAAACAAAACAAAGCTTTAAAACAAGAAGGAGAGGGACTGAGCAAATTACATAATGAGAATTGGAATGAAATTGAGGGTTTAACAGGGCATTCTTTCATTAAACTCTGGAAGTTCAACTGTGGTTAGCATTTCTTGACATATCTCCTACCTTTTATTAAAATACTAGAGGCCCAATGCACGAAATTCATGCAAGAGTAGGCCTTACTTCCCCCGGCTGCCGGCACCTGCTTCCCTCTGGCACCTGGAACCTGGGCTTCCCTTGCAGCCCCAGCTTCGTCTAGAACAGTGATGGCGAACCTATGACACGCGTGTCAGAGGTGACACGCAAACTCATTTTTTGGTTGATTTTTCTTTGTTAAATGGCATTTAAATATATAAAATAAATATCAAAAATATGTCTTTGTTTTACTATGGTTGCAAATATCAAAAAATTTCTACATGTGACACGGCACCAGAGTTAAGTTAGGGTTTTTCAAAATGCTGACACGCCGAGCTCAAAAGGTTCGCCATCACTGGTCTAGAAGGACATCTGGTCTAATTAGCATATTATGCTTTTATTATTATAGATATTTTTATTGATTTCAGAGAGGAAGGGGGAGAGAGAGAGAAACATTAGTGATGAGAGAAAATCATTGATCAACTGCCTCCTGCATGTCCCACACTGGGGATTGAGCCAGCAACCCGGGCATGTGCCCTGCACAGGAATCAAACCATGACCTCCTGGTTCATAGGTCGATGCTCAACCACTGAGCCATGCCAACCGGGCTCTCCTAACTTTAATTAATGAAATTGTACTCGGAGCTGGAATGGAGTGGGGTTGCAAAGTCTTCTTTTGCAGAAGCTGTGTTGGACAACATGGTCAAAAGAATCATAATTACAGACAACTTATCTGACAAGTTTTACCTTGAAAAAATATCTGTCAAATAAAGGACCCTCTAAATGAAAATCACTGTAAAAATATTTGGTCTGTAATATTTAAACATTTCAGTATGAAAAAAAAATTGAATGAAAGGATTTTCCTTTAACAGAATTTACTCTGAGCTTACATCAACCCGATAGAGAAAACACTTCCCCAATCAAAAGCATAGCGGCCGAGCCCTGGCCGGTGGCTCCATTGGCTGGAGAGTCATCCTATATATCATTGGTGGCTTGTTCAAATCCCAGTCAGGGCCTAGGCCTAGGTTGTGGGTTCGATTCCCATCAAGGTGTGTACAGGAGGTAGCTGATTGATGTTTCTCTCTCTCCCTTCCTCTCTCTATAAAATCAATAAAAACATATCCTCGGCCTGGCCAGCGTGGCTCAGTGGCTGAGCGTTGACCTATGAACCAGGAGGTCACAGTTCAATTCCCGGTCAGGGCACATGCCTGAGTTGTGGGTTCAATCCCATGTGGGGTGTGCAGGAGGCAGTCGATCCATGATTCTCTCTCATCATTGATGTTTCCATCTCTCTCTTCCTCTCCTTTCCTCTCTGAAATCAATAAAAACATTTTTTTAAAAAGAAAAAAGAAACACAAAAACAACATGTCGCCGGGTGAGGATCTAAACAGAAAACAACGAAGACACAGTGGCCAGTAGAGAAGGGGCTGGCAGCGAGCAGGACGGATCCTGAACCAGGAAGGGCCTTGGGGAGGGGGCCGTGTGGCCGAGGACCAAGGGGGCCGTGTGGCCGAGGACCGAGGGGGCGTCGGTGTGGACGTCCGTGACTGGTCACCTGTGTCACTTTCCATACTCGATAGAAACATCGTTGTTTTCCTGCCCAACGTGCTGTTCAGAGAGAATGTCATGAGCGTGATGTTTGACTGTCTTTGCTTTTGAATTGGTGACATCATAAAGCCAATTGCCAGCCAGTGAATGTTTCAGAAGTGCATCCTTCCCATCGCAGGGCCCGGGAATTCTCAGAAGCGTCCTGGTTTGGGTGAGAACCCTGGTCCCGGCAGCAGAAAGGGGTGGGACGGGCAGGACAGGAGGGGAAGGTCGGGATCGGGCAAAGTTGGGCGATGGGTTGGGTCTGGGTTCCCTCGCCTCTGCCGTCCAGCAGTGACCCGGGGGGAGGAGGGACAAGAGGCGGCCACAGGTATGACCCTACCTGCCACCGACTCATCGGCGGGGCCACACTGGGGTTTGGCAGGGTCGGCGCCCGGTACACAGAGGGTGAGGAGAGGGAAGGAGGCCATGGCCTCGGCTGGCGTTCAAGGCCGGCCTCCCAGCCTCCAGGGGCCCCGGGGAGAACAGGCCCCAGCGCCGTGGTCCGGTTCCACCTGGGAATTGGACTCAGGGACTGAGGTTTAGCGAGAGATCTGAAAACCGCCGCACAGACGTCAACTTCTTGACGACGTCGAGTTTATGTCCTGCTGCCCAGTGCTTGATTTCTGCTTTGTGTGGCTTTGCCTGAGTAACTCCTGGGTCCAGTTATTTTACAAACCAAGTTCAGGCGGTGACGCAGGTACACAGACAGAGGCAGGAACAGAGGGCGAGGCCCGGCAGCTGGGACCACACCCGTCTGAAGAGGGTGACCCTGGACGTCACAGGGCCAGGACGGAACAGGGTCTGATCCGGGGTCGGGGGTCGGGCACGCGTCTGACCCCGTCCTCTCCCCGGTCCTGCGCTGCGGCCGGGCCGGGCGCCATGGCCCCGGAGCTCACGGTGCGTCCTCTTTGCAGAACCCCTGTGACGACAAGCGGCACAAGGACATCTGGTCCCGAGAGAAGACCTGCGAGCACTTGCCCCGCTTCCTCGTCATCGGGCCGCAGAAGACAGGTGAGGGTCGCCGCCGGGCGGGCGCGCGAGTCCGTGTCCCGGGATGTGGCGTCCGTGGCATCGCTGGGCCGGTCGGTGTGCGTGGGACGAGGAGACACCCAGGCACGGGCCCGCTGCTGGGACCCGGCTTCACGCCGAGGTCCGGGTGCTGCCTGCGAACCGGGCTCAGGGACTGAAGTTTTAGCTTTTAAAATCGTTGCACAGACGTCATGTTTTTTAAAGTATATTTTTATGGATGTCAGAGAGGAAGGGAGGGAGAGGGAGAGAGATAGAAACATCAATGATGAGAGGGAATCATGGATCGGCTGCCTTCTGCACGTCCCCCACTGGTGATCGAGCCCGCAACCCGGGCATGTGCCCTTGGCTGGAATCAAAGCGGGGACTCTCCAGTCTGCAGGCCGACGCTCTATCCACTGAGCCAGACCGGCCAGGGCAAGACCACATTTTGGACAACGTTGAGGGTCTGTCCTGCTACCTGGTGTTTAATTTCTGCTTTCCGCGGCTTTGCCTGAGTAACCCTGCCTCAGTTATTGTGCAAAGAGCTCCTGGCAAACCATGTGGCGCCGATGTGTGCCTTGAGTGGCTTTTTTTAGAGCCGCTGTCTTTATTGCCTTAAAATGTTCCACGTGTGTGTGTGGTGGAGGGGGAGAGGGGGTGGGGGGTGCCCACCATCAGGTGTGATGCGGCCTGGGCTGACTCCCTCGGGCACCTGGGCTCCCTCCGTGTTCTCTGAGCCGAAGGCCAGGGGCGTCGGAGGGAGTAACTCAGCGGCCAGATGACACTTTCCATTAGAATATTTTACCCTGCGGCCCGGAGGTGGCAGCTTTATGCGCGGCGCTCACGTCCTGGTTATTAACGTTTTTATTGAGTCGCTGTATCGGGGACCCACTGCTTCGGGGAGAGCGTTTTCACCGGTGAGCGCACCACGCACGGCACAGACGCGGACACGCAGGCCCACGCGGAGGGGCCCACCTGCAGGAGCAGACGGCGCTGAGGCCGCGGCAAAGTCCGCAGCCTGTTGGGCGTTGGTGCTGAAGGCTCTTCCTCCAGGAACGTAGGCTGCCCCATAGCAGGAAGCGGCAGAGGCAGCTCAGGCCTCAGACCTGCGCCTTTGTCGCCGTTGCTTAAATGTGCATGGTGGCCCTGGCGGGGGCGCGGGGTGCAGGGGGGCGGGGCTCAGGGGCTCCAGCGTCGTCTGAATTCACCAAGGCTCAGGTTCACCACCCCGGTCAGGGCACATACAGGACGCAACCGATGAGTGCGCCAATAAGTAGAACAACAAACTCATGTCTCTCTCTCTCTCAAATCAGTAAACATTTTTTAAATGTGCATTAATTTTCTACCAGCTCCCGGTGGTGGTGCTAACTCTGGGACGACTAGAAAGAAATGAAACCGTCCTGGTGTGAAACAATGTCACAGGCCGTCTCCTGCCACTTGTCACTGGGCGTCCTGACCGGCTGGTTCCACGCCCCCCCCCCCCCCCCCCGTATTCCCACTCTCCAAAAAAGCGCCCTGAAATTTTA